TGGCCAGACACCAGTGGCTTATGCCTGTAATCCTATCTACTCAGGAGGCTGAGATCTGAGGATCACAGTTCAAAGCCAGCCCGGGAAGGAAAGTTTGTGAAATTCTTATCTCCAAATTAACCACCAAAAAACCCCAAGTGGCACTGTGGCTCAAGTGGTACAGCACTAGCCTTGAGCTGTAGAGCTGAAGAACAGCACCCAGGCCTAGAGTTCAAGTCCCACAAGCAACAGGGAAAAAAAATAAAAAAAAAAACAGGCACCGGTGGCTCACACCTCTAATCCTAGGCTGAGATCCTAATCCGGAGGCTGAGATCTGAGGATCATGATTCAAAGGCAGCCTGGGCAGGAAAGTCCAGTTTGACTCTTACCTACAATTAATCACCAGAAAACCAGAAGTGGTACTATGGCTCAATGTCATAGAGCACTAGCCTTGAGCTGAGAAGCTGAAGGACAGAATTCAAGCCCCACAACCCATAAAACAAACAAAAAACAACAACAACGAACAACAAACTTCCTTACTTACTAAAAGGCAAAACTAAACCTAGCAAAACAAATATAAAATGCTTAGATTTTTTTAAAAGAAAGTTATAGCACATAGTTGGAGGGAAAAAGGGAGAACAAAAGCAGCCCTGGTACTCAGTATATACTATGGTAAAAATTAATTATATGACTTGTAAGTGGAATGGAGGGGAAAAACTAGGAGAGAGCAAGGGAATGGGTAACAGTATCAAAAAAAGAAATGTACTCTGGCTAGGCACAGCTGACTCAGGCCTGTAATCTTAACTACTCAGGAGACTGACACCAGAGGATTGTGGTTCGAAGCTAGCCCAGGGGAAAGTTCATGACACTCTTATCTCCAATACATACTCAGAAAAAGTTGGAGGTAGCACAATAGCTCAACTGGTTACAGGCCTAGCTTTGAGCCAAAGAAACTCAAAACCAGCAAAGAAAAAAAAAAAACTTACATGACTCTGACCCCACTGTATATTGCCTTTATAAAAATAATAATAAAAAAATCAATAAACTGGGTGCCAATGGCTCACCCCTGTAATCCTAGCTACTCAGTAGGCTGATATGAGGATCACGGTTCAAAGCCAGCTTCAGTGGGAAACTCTGTGAGACTCATTCTCTTTTAAATAAAGTACTAAAAAAAGCTAGAAATGGCACTGTGGCTCAAATGGTAGAAGGCTTGCTTTGAGCAAAAGCAGCCCAGGAACAGCGCCCAGGCCCAGAGTCCAAGTCCCAGGACCAACAAAGTTAAAATAAAAATAAACAGAAAATTATGAAGCCAAGTATGATGGCACATATCTGTAATCTGAGCACTTGAGACTGATGAAAGATCACAAGTTTGAGACCAGCTTAGGCTATAGTAAGACTATTTCAAAAAAAAAAAGACTGCTGGGAGCTGGGAAGGTGGCTCAGTGGTAGAGCGCTTGCCTTGCATGCTCGAGGCCCTGGGTTCCATTCCTCAGCACCACATAAGCAGAAAAAGCTGGAAGTGATACAGTGGCTTAAGTGGTAGATAGAGTGCTAGCCTTGAGCTGAAGAGCTGAGGGATAGCGCCCAGGCCCAGAGTTCAGGCCCCACAACTGACATACACACACACAAAAAGACTGAGAATCATGGTTCAAAGTTAGCCCAGGGAAGGGGCTGGGAAGGTGGCTCAGTGGTAAAACGTTTACCTTGAATGCATGAGGTCCTGGGTTCGATTCCCAGGACCACATAAGCAAAAAGGAAAAAAGAGCCGGAAGTGGCACTGTGGCTCAAGTGGTAGAGCACTAGCCTTGAGCTGAAGTGCTGAAGGACAGTGCCCAGGCCCAGAGTTCAGGCCCCATGACCAGACCCAAAAAAAAAAGTTAGCCCAGGCAAGTCTGTGAGACTCTTATCTCCAATTAACCTCCTAAAAAAGCCTGAATAGGAGCTGTGGCTCAAATGGTAGAACTAGCCTTACACAAAACACCTCAGGGAGAGCGCCCAAGCCCATAGTTCAGGCCCAAGTAGTAGCATACACACAAAAATAGCTGTAAATAGAATTACCTCCACTAGAGTAATTTTTACTATCTACATATTAATTCGATAAGCATTTGAAATAATTACAGTTTATTTGCAATAAACTTACGGAGACTGGGAGGAGGTGGGATCATTGCCCCGGCAGGAGGAGGAGCAGAAAATGGAGTGGGAGGTATCTTTCCTTGTTGAAATGCAGCCGCTTCGAAGATGAGACAAAAAAGAAAAAAAAAATTCAACAACCAGTTTTTATTGTAAATTTAATTACTAAATTGTGGCACTAATTTTGAAATAATTTTCATCTACTAAAAACTATAATCATGACTGATTTAGGTTTTTATAGCTTTTCTAGAACATATTAATTTAGAACACATGCTTTGTATATGTGCAATAATTAAGTTTGAATTGAAAACCTTCAGACTTGCTAGGTAGGTACTCTACCAACTTAAAGCACACCCTTAGCCCTTTTAAATTGTTTTTCAGGTAGGGTCTCATTTTTGCCCTAGATAGCTATATAATAATCCTTCTATATAATCCTTCTACCTATTCCTTCCAAATAGCTAGGATTACAAGCATGCGCCTCACACCCAGCTTGTTGATTGTGATGTTGTCTTGTGTGCTTGCTAACTTTTTACCTGGGGTGGCCTTGCAATCTTTCCATGTGCCTCCTAAGTAGCTGGGATTGCAGGCTTATACCAACATACCTGTCTACTTTTATTTAATATTTAATATAGCGCCAAATAACTACAGGACTAGGTGTGGTAGAGTATACCTATAATCCCAGCACTTGGAAGGCTGAGGCAGGATTACTTCAGTTTAGAAGTCTGAGATTAGCTTGGGCATAAACAAAACTATGAGAAATTAAATGAAAACTTTCTACCTAGCCAATATCTTTTACCAATGAGAAATAATTATCTGTAATCCATATATATGGTTTATAAGCAATTCAAGCTATTCAATTTTTTTTCAATGTGCAAAACATGCTTAATAGTAAGGCTTTAAAAGATTTCCAGGGGCTGGGAATGTGGTTCAGTGGTAGAGTGCTTGCCTAGCATGCTTGAAGCTTGGGTTTGATTCCTTAGTACCATATAAAACACTGTATCACTATGATATACTGCTTTTTAAATTAGTGCAATGAAGTATGAGATATGGAAAAACCAAAGATTTCAAAGGAAGAGCCTGCTCTGAAGAATATGATCTTTTTAAAAGAAAGTTCACTACAGGGCTTGGGATCTGTCTCAAGTGCCTAACCAAACACAAATCCGAGTTAAAAACTCCAATACTGAAAGGAAAAAAAAAGTCCAATACTGGGCTGGGAAGGTGG